TCAAGTAATGAAACATCCACAAAAACTAGCTGTTGAACTTGATGAACAATCTTTGACATATGCTGAACTCTTACATTATGTCCAAGTACTATCTTTATATCTTATAAAGAAATATGTTGTTGTTCCAGGTGAAATTATATGTCAATGTGTTGAGAGAAGTTTGTCGATGGTGAGTTATTTTTTAGATTGATGTTTAGCATGATTGAAATTTTCATATTGTATAGGTTATTGGTATCATGGCGATTGAAATGAGTGGTGGTGTCTATTGTCCATTGTCACCTCGTGATCCAGAACATCGTTTGCATGCTCTCATACAACAAACGCAAAGTCGTCTTATTCTTGTTCATTGGTTGACAAAGAACAAGTTTAATAATAGTATTATTTCATTTGATATTCATTTGATATTCACTAATAATGATGTAATGAGCAATGTTTATTTTGATCGACTATCGAATATTTCAGTCAAATCAAGTAATATTGCTTATATCATTTTCACTAGTGGTTCAACAGGAATACCGAAAGCCGTGAGTTCGAAATCTATGATACTTCTGTACTATGATATGATGATATTCATTTGTAGGCGCAAATTCAACAGCGGAATATCACTCAGTGTATGCATTCTATGGTTTCTATTGATGCAGTTAATAAGAATGACATAGTTATACAAATTGCACGCTGTTCGTTCGATGTTCATGTTCTTGACATAGTAGGGACACTGATGATTGGTGCAACTTTAATTATGCTTCGTCCTGATGGGATACTCGACCTTGACTATTTTACTTCTGTATTAAAGAGAAGACAAGCTACTTATATTCAAGCTGTTCCAAGTCTACTTCGAACATTTTTCACTTTTCTTAAAGAGACACATCGGCTAACGCCTGAAATATATTTCAGATCCGTTTGTAGTAGTGGTGAGGGTGCTTCTAGTTTAATGTTATCTTCTTAATCTTAACCCTCTATTTTAGGCGAGCCTTTTACTTTAGATCTAACTGATCTATTAGAAAGCTATACCACAGAAAAATGTAACATATGGAATTTATATGGTCCAGCAGAGACAATTATTTGTACTTACCATCGTGTTCAATCAGCAGTCATTAGAAAAACGATTCCGATTGGTCTGACAATGCCTAATTATCGATGTCTGGTCTTCGATTTATATCTACAAAGTGTTATCGTTCATCAGGAGGGTGAATTATATGTTGGAGGAGTAGGAGTATTTGCAGGTTATCTTGAACGTAACGATTTAACAGCGAAAGTATTCACCAAAATTAATGATCATGTATTCTATCGAACAGGTGATCTTGTTCGAATGGACAATAACGGATTGATACATTATGTGGGCAGAAAAGACCATCAGATAAAATTACATGGTCAAAGAATCGAACTTGATGAAATCGAACAATGCTTACTTCGGACATCGATTTCAGCTTGTGTTGTCATTAAATGGGGTGATGATCATCTAATTGCTTATGCTCAGAGCTTCGATATTGATGAAAAACAATTACGGAAACACTCCCAATCGCATTTACCACCTCATATGATTCCATCTCTCTTTGTTATACTCGACAAATTTCCATTGACTGCAAATGGAAAAATAGATCGAAAACGTCTTCCACCACCTAACTTTCCATCAATGCATCTCATTAGTTCTAATGAACTTTTGTTACCAAGGAATGAAAATGAAATCACCATTCATCAGATTTGGTGCGATATATTCAATTTAAAGCAAATCTCAGTTGATACAAACCTCTTCCGTATCGGTGGTCATTCACTTGTCATTATGCAACTATTTCATCGATATAAAATACAATTTCATCTTCAACCAAATACTCTTTCTATTACTGATCTTTTTCAACATCCAACAATTATCGATCATGCTCAACTCATTTATCAAACTATAAATATGAAAGAGAATATTAATGACTATCATTGGTCTTCATTACATATCATGAAAGGTAACATTGAATGTTTATGAATATTCTATTAACTATATTCTGCTCTTTGATTGTAGCTAAAGCATCATTTGCACAAGAACGTATTTTCTTAGATGAACAAATTCGATTTGCATCAACAGATAATAATACTAACAACATGTATGTTATTCCATTAATTTATCGAATTTCATCTATGAATGATCATATATCTATATCACGATTACAACATGCATTTCAGTCTATCATTACAAAACATCAGATTCTTCGAACAATACTCTATCTTGATACAAATGGTACTATTGTTCAACACTATTTAGATGTAAATGTTATTATCAATGATAAGACATCATCTAGATTTTCCATAATTAATCTTTCCGATGAAGAACATGAACAGAATGAAATTGTGAAGAAGATCTTAAATCAATCAGATTTATTTGATTTATCAATAGGACATGTTATTAATTGTCATATTCTTCGTCATAATCAATCAAATCATTCATTCACTCGGAATAATGATCTATTGACTAAAGATGATCTAATATTATTTACCATTCATCATGCAATGTTTGATGGAGCATCGACATCAATCTTTCTTCGTGATCTTTCTCTTGCTTATCAATCCAATGATTTGCTTCCTATATATGATAATTCATTACAATATATTGACTATTCTATTCATGAGCACATAATGGATATGACATTATCTCATGAATTTTGGTTATCAGAACTGAAAGGGTATAATTTTGTACGCCAATTATTATTACCTGTTGACCGACAACGTTCGTCAACCGATCAACGATCAGGTTTAGCTTCTACAGCTCAAATTATTTTCGATGATAAAATATGTAGATCATTTCTGAACTATGCATCATCACATCATCTCACACCTTTTCAACTTGGATTATCGATATTTTATGTGTTTCTATTCAAATTAACTCGTGGTGAGACTGATTTATGTATTTCTTCTATTTGTGCTAATCGATATCGCAGTGAATTACATAATCTAATTGGAATGTTTGTTTCAACACTGCCATATCGTGTTCAACTTGATCCACA